AGCCCCGCCCCCTTGTGGACTGAGCTGGCCACACACACACACACACACACACAATAAATAAATGTAAAAATAAATAAATAAATGATTTAAAAAAAAAAAAAAAGAATCTCACTACTAGATAGGACTTGTAAAAAAAAAGATAGGACTCGTAGTGATCCATCTGTTTACAGCCTCCCAAGAGCTGGGATTACACGCATGTGCCACCATACTGTCCCAATTATGGTCTCAGTGTGCCCCGGGGACAGGTCTGGTGCAACAGGCCCGGGGTTCAAACCCCTGGCTCCTGTGCCTGCTTGCAAGTGCTTTAATCCGCTGAGCTATCTGACTGGCCCTCATCTATACAAATTTAACAGCTTTGCACCCATACTAGCACTGAAGACAGGTATTAACCATACTATTATTTAGTCTTGAAATCAATTCAGCAGAAATACCTGCTAAAAAACCTTTCCTGTGTTTGTACACTTTAATTCCTGGTAATCTTTAGCAATAAATATAAATGCTACTTCTAAGAATTTTTTAGACAGCACCCTCACCTGATCCATGGTTTCGCTTTCCCAGGTTTTAGCTACCCATGGCAAAGAGGTTCCAATTTTTTTCTCTTTGTCCACAATATTAAACAGAAAATTTTAGAAATAATTCATTGGTTTCTAAACCCCATCCAGTCTGTAGTCAGTAGCCTGGTAAACCCTTGCGCTGTCCAGCCGCCTCTCAGGACCTTGATCATCCCAGAGTGGGGTATCCACGATGTATATTCCGGCTATGTGCTCAACACTTTTAAGCCATCTAGACTATCAGACAAGGCCTCTGTTCAAGTCACCCTTACACAGTAGCCTAAGTTTCTGTCACAATGTCTAATTCATCTCACCACATAGGCGTTATTTCATCTCACAAGAAAGGTGAATACAGCACAATAAGGTACCATGAAAGGTAAATACACTGTAAGACAATACCCATCTAACTTGTTACAGCAGTTATAACTATTATTATTGAACTGTTACTGTGCCAAATTTACAAAATAAACTTTTTCCTCAATAATATGGGAGACACCATGTGAAGAGCTCAGTACTGTCTACAGTTGTAGGCATCCTCTGGGGGGTCTTGGAACATATCCGTATACAAGGAATACTGTCCAACATAAAACTTGGCACTGGGGCTGGGCAGATGGCTCA